GTGCCTAACAAAGTGGGTTTTGTCAAAGAGGAAGCATTGGCTCTGAGCACGCACAAATGCAAGCTAGGGTCATAGCCACAGCACCTGAGGAGGACTGCAAGTGTATTGTAAATATTAAAAAAAAAAAAAAAAAGTTCTGCTGCTCTTGACCTTGTATAAATGTTATATAAAGCATGCTCCTCCTTGCTTGGAAATTTTGGTTTGTCAACTGTAGCATCCAGCTGTCTCTTTTGTGAATTCTGCTGTTTGTCACTCTTCATCTGCTTCGGGAAGAGGACTTTGTGGTGTTCTCGTGCATTTTTGCCAAGCTGTTTCCTAAAGCTGCAGGGTCTAATGTAACATGCATGGCATTCAGATACAGCACATGAGTAAGAAGAGTGACATAGACTCTTATGTCCTGAAGTGAATCAAACAGGAGAGGTCTCACTATGTTTTTTCCTGTGAATAGCTCTTGTACTGCTTCAGTGCCACCTACTGACCGGTTCTTAGACCATCCGCGTGAGGAATGTTCCTGTTGGCCTTGTTAAAACAATTTTTCCTTCCATTAAACTTGTCTGTCTGGAGGATTGTGTTATGCGCTGCCCCAATCCTTCTGAATTTAAGAGAATATTTCACTTCCTACAGACATTGTGACAGCAACTTCCAAGTTGTTAACAGCAGCAGCTGTGTTTGTAACTCTACTGGAACAATCCCCTTTGGGCTTCGTTACCATTCACAGGACCATTTTGTGAAATTATTATTCTACTATGCTCAGTGCACATAAAGCGGGGAGTTATTATCTTTCAAATCTTAAACTATATGAAGAATCATGTACATTTTGAAACAGAAGCATCTGGGAGAAGACAAGTTGGGAATTGGAAAACCGGCTTACCAGTCTACCAGCAAGCAAGAGCTGTTAACTACTGCTAATTGTCCTTGAGCTACAACAGCAAATTGCTGGGCTTGTGCAATTTTAAATTCCCACATCGTCAGGCAGAAATTGGGCTGGTTCTGCCAGGCTTACTTCAGCAGTAGGAAGATGCTTGGCTGGGTATAGAATCATAGAACATTTTGGGTTGGAACGGACCCCTAGAGGTCACCTAGTCCAGCGCCCCTGGGAGTGTTGGAGCAGGGACACTACTAACTAGATCAGGTTGCTCAGAGCCTCATCCAACCTGGTCCTGAATGTTTCCAGGGATGGGGCCTCCACTACCTCTCTGGGCAACCCCTTCCAGTGTTTCACTACCCTCATTGTAAAGAATTTCTTCCTTGTATCTAGTCTAAACCTACCCTGTTTTTGTTTAAAACCATTACCCCTTGTCCTGACACAGCTGGCCCTGCTAAAAAGATTGTCCCCATCTCTCCTACAGGCCCCCTTTAGGTACTGAAAGGCCGCAATCAGGTCTCCCCGCAGCCTTCTCTTCTCCAGGCTGAACAACCCCAACTCCCTCAGCCTGTCCTCATAGGAGAGGTGCTCCAGCCCTCGGATCATTTTTGTAGCCCTCCT